GTTTTTGGTGTGTGAGTGTGTGTGTGTCTGATTGTTGATGGGGGTGGGCAGCAGGGCCTTGTGGGTAGTGTCACATTGGATAAGAAGCTGTCCTAGTTCCCAAACACATTTCTGTAAAAGGCACTTGCTTCTCCTTGAGGTTGCTAGGGGAGACACAATAGCAGGATAGGTCTGAAACACTTACCAGTTATTAATGAAAAATAAAGAAAGTGTTAAATAGCTGGTTTAGCTGAATGCAGGGACTGCAACAGCCTGTCTGCTAAAAGAATTTGCTACTTGATTTAGTTGCCATCTAGTTGATGCAAATTATTTTGCATCTTCCCATCTCCAAGTTCCTTCTTTTCAAGTCAAATAAAAGCAAAACACTCTTGTCAGGCACTGGAAAGGTACAATTCCTTGGAAAAAAAAGGGGGGGCACAGTAGATGCGGTATGAGAGGCCCTTTGTTCTGCATCTGCTTACCTATGTGGCTCAGCAGCAATTCATTCCTGCAGGCTCAGTGACTTGGCCACGTGGGAGGGAGGAACGTAGGCCATATCAGTCAACTCTTAGGTTTCCCAGCAACCTATGACCTGCTAGGAAAATGTGCACTTCGCCAAGTCCAAGTGAAAGTGAAGCCTTGCCAGATAGCAGTGGTACTGCAGCTGTGGGCTCATGAGAAAGGCCGGACCATAAAAACTGTAGGCAGAGGATGAGGACACAGGAAGTCAGGGACGGCGCGTAGAAGGAAATGTCGGCATTTGGGTGGGACACAGCCAGTCCTGTCATGGGTGAATTCTACAATTTATAATAGGCGTTAGCTTCACTGGGCATTACAGTCCCTGGAACCGGAATGACTTCTTAAGAAAGGCACCAACGGATAAGAATCTGAAAGAGAAAGCGGCAAATATGAGGGAAGTTACACAGCATCTCACACATGGACGGAAGAAATGCACTTTTTAAAAAGTATGGGTGAACTGGGCACAGTGGAGCACAAGTTACCTTTCTGGGCTTTGAGGTGGCAGAGGCACGTGGCTATCTGTGAGATCAAGGCCAGCCTGGTCTATAGAATGAGCTACCAACCCAAGGGGATGGAGAGAAGGCTCAAGCATTAACAGTATTTGCTGTGGAGGCTCATTTAGAGGATGCAATCCCTACTTCTGGCCTCCATGGGCACCAGGCACACATATAGTGCATATACATACATGCAAGCACTCACACTATAAATAAGTGTATTTCTTTATAAATAAAATAAATATATATAAGTAAAATAAATAAAAATTTTAAAACATAAGCCAAGCTGAGTGGTGGTATTACACCTACCCAGGGGGTAGAGGCAGGCAGATCTCTGAGTCTGAGGCTAGCCTGGTCTACAGAGAGAGTTCCAGGACAGCCATGGCTACCCAGAGAAACCCTATCTTGAAAAAACAAAACAAAACAAAACAAACAAGTAGCAACAAAAATAATTACAGAGAGAGAGAGAAGAGCCAAACCAATGTAAAATTGGAGATTGGGAAGGTTATTTCCTTCCTTCCTTCTTTCTTTTTTTAAAAACAATTTATTTTTATTTCATGTGCATTGGTGTTTTACCTGCATATATGTCTGTGTAAGGGTGTCAGGTGCCCTGCGACTGGAGTTTCAGATAGTTGTGAACTGCCATGTGAGTGCTGGGAATTTAACCCGGGCCCTCTGGAAGAACAGTCAATGTTCTTAACCACTGAGCCATCTCTCTAGCCCCAGGAGGGTTATTTTCAATCTCTGCAGAGTCGCACAGGACTTTTTTTCTTGTTCCTGCAAGCAAGGAGCTAAGACTGAGCAGAAGCCAGAAGGAGCTAGGGGTTAGCTCAGAATTTCCCAGACACAGGATGCTTTTCTGGAGGGAGGGTGTAGATAGGGGACAGAGAGTCCCTGGAGCTGTTCAACTGGAGAGCAGCTGACCTTGTCCCGGTAGATGGGAGCTTGACCTTGAGGGCCTCCGCCACTAGCTAAACACAATGAGTCTACGCGTGACCACCATTCTGGCCTTTGACTGCATCTTCGGCATGGACTTGAAGATTAAGTTGACCATAAACAGACCTTCTCTTTGATCTCTAGAAGACTACAACGTCTCCTTTGAGGATTAAGAAAATACAAAGAGGCTCATAAAATGCTCAGCCTTCCATCTCATCTACCTTTGTCCCTGGAACTTTTCTAGAGTGCTGTGGCGGGACCCTTGCTCTCCCTCAGATGACCCTTTCAGAAAGGCGTCCACTGTTGCCTTAAACAAATTCAGTGGACGTGTCCGCTTGTTGTAGGTGTGTGCATTTGAATGCTGGTGCCTGTAGAGGTCTCAAAGGCATTGGAGTCTCCAGAATCTGGAGTTTCAGGCCATTGTGAACTCCCTGAGGTGGGCAATGGACACCGACCTCAGGCTTTCTGGAATAACAGCTAGTCCTCAGCGCTGAGCCGCTGCCCTGGCCCTTCTACCACCACTGCCTTGTAAACAAACAGAAAGCAACTTATTTATATGCATTTTGAGAAAGTCTCGCTCCTGGATCAAAGCGACCCTCCTCAGTAATTGGGACTGCCCTGCAGATGAACCCTCCTCCTCATTCCTGGTGACTGAACCTAGTTATGCATCTAGACAAGTGCCCAGACTACAGCCTCTGGACTACAGCCTCGGGCCAACAATTTTATTCTTACAATGAGGGAAGATGCCTTCATTGGTGCAAATATTCTAACGGAAACCTAATTCAACCAACCCACCCCGGACTGGAATAGTACAAAGTAGCAGCTAAGGCAGCCTGAAAACTCCAGCAATGGTTTGGCACCACCAGCCTACCGGTTCGGTCCTACCACCTCCCAAACATGGGGGTGAGTCCTGATTCCTTGGAGACACCACGTGTCTTTGTTCTCCCCTTCGCCCTGCTGCAGACACCTTCCCCGTATACACGGTAATGTGGAGGGAGGTGGAGAATCCCAGCCTGTCTCACTACACAGATCTCTGGTAGATTCATCAGCCAGGAAACAGAACAGCAGAAAATACCTTCCACAAGTCTAGCAGTCAGGACCCAGCAACCAAAACGAGAAGCATCCTGTCCCTCGGACTAACAGCAAGAAAAACTCTACTTTCCGAGGAGCCTAGGTTAAAAAGATCTCTTTGGAGCCTGGAGGTGGTGACATGCACCTTTAGTCTCAGCACTGGGGAGGCAGAGGCAGAGGCAGGCAGATCTCTGTGAGTTCGAGGCCAGCCTGGTCTACAGAGCGAGTTCCAGGACAGCGAAGGCTACACAGAGAAACCCCGACTCGGGGGGAAAAAAGTCTCTTTTCAGGTAAGGTCTTGTGTAGCCCAGGCTAGCCTCAGACTCACTATGCAGCAGAAGATGGATTTAAACTTCTGATCCTCCTGTCTGTACTTCTGGACCATTGAGATTACTAGGTTCTTGATCCCTAGGCTACAGGGTCCCTATTTGCTATTTTCATATAGGTCATAGATTCCATTTCAGACCTAGGGATATAGGAAGGTGCCAAAAAGACCACGGATGGCCGTAGAGGAGGACAGTGTCCTTTAGTCCCACTAGATCATTCAAGGTGTCTGAAATCAGAGCTATCTCAGAGACTAGAATTGTTTTTCTAGTAAACACAAGGGGTCCATTCTAAAGCAGAGTGACGCCCTGTGGACCAGTCAGGTGTGCTTCTGTGATGGATGGTGAGGGTATTCAGCCCTGCCTCTCGTTAGGTGTCATCCAAACGTCCACTTACACGCCAGCCACGCCGACCAGCCCACGGCTTTTCCCGAGCCCTCCAACTGCAGAGCTGTACATCCAGGCTGCTTTCCACACGGCCTGCCACCGAGCCATTTTCCTCTGCACTGCACGCAGCCTCTGCTGCCAGGATGAGTCACCTTGCAACTCATCCTCTCAGCCCCTCCACTCTGTACTTAAAATACCCTGGGGCTGGCCGAAAAGAACCCTGCTGTGTGTGAGCACGTGTGTGAGTGTGTGAACGTGGGGTTGGCAGCCTGGCCTTCCGCAGCCTCTGCAGAGCCTGGCTGCATTCTGTTTGGCAAGGGGGGCTTAGAGAGCCGGCGGCCCCAGGGAGCTCTCTTTCAGCCCTGGTTCTCTCGAGCAGCCTGCCAGCTTACACTCTTTCCCTCGCAGGCACCTCCATTTTAGTCTCCTTGGTTTTGAGCCGAAGAATCTTGGGAGTCAATGTGCTCTATTCTCTTCTCCCAGCCCAATTTTTGGATAGCCATCTTGCTACAGACAAGAATATCTTGTCCTGCTTTTACCTGCTGGACCCCGTCTCTTCCCTCCCAGGTAAATTCTGCGTCCATTACAACAGCATCTGGCGGTTTTCTGAGTTGGAATCTGTTATCCTCACTTAGATTGATACCTCCACCTCCCCCCGCCCCCTCTTCTGCTGTCGACTCTGTTTAGTGCTTCTCCTCTGTCCACCCACACAGAATATTAACCTTGGGCAGAACCAGTCATAGGCTCCAGAACCATTTCTTTTTCCTAGCCAGCACAGAACGGGGACTGACAATTGTTCTCCTGCGCCTGAACCTTTATACTGAGCTGAATCCTCCCTTCCTCCAGTGAACTTCCACAGGTACCTAGGGAACAGCGCTATTAGTTCCCGATGGTCCACACCCAACCGCACACTGCACCTGCTGGAGGCACTCCCCCCCTGGGGGAGGGGCACAACCACACACACTGCGATTTCAACCTGCTGGTACAGCACCCTTTACAGAAGGGGCCCTGGAACAAAAGCTCAGCCCAGTGCAATCCAAAGGGACATGTGCTTGAGTTATTCATTACTTGACTTAGCTGAGGTCACAGAGCAGGAAGCACATTTGGAAGCAAGGGAAAAGGTGCCATTGAAGAGGGTGAGGAGTTAGTCAGGGTGACCTTCAAGGGCCCAAAGGGAACTCAGAGTCCTGGTCCTGGTTAAGTATCAGAGTAAGGCGGCCAGTCAGAAAGTCATACCAATAGCTTCAAGGTTAGGCAAGGTCACATGGAAGGAATTATAGTTAAGCTAGCTACTTAATAGCTCTTACTATGCACTAGGCACAGCGCTTAACACTTTCCCACATCCTTCTTTTAATCCTGGCTACAATGTATCACTCTAATTTTACAGCCAAGGGAACAGCCCTGCAGAGAACAAGTGACTTGGCCAAGGTGAAGCTGGCCGACCTGGAGGAGGGGGCTGTGAACACATCTCTGTCTTATCTTTCCTGGGGCTGCTTTATGTGGCAAGACGGTGAAATGCACCAGAGAGCTGGTGGGCAGGTGGAGCCTGAGGTGAGCCACTGACAGAAATGGTTCCCCGATCCGATCCGTGGGCTGAGATCATATTCCCGTGGCAACACTAGCTCTGGGTGGGAACAGGGATGATTCTCAGGAAACCAATGTGTCTGTGTGTGTGTCTGTGTGTGTTGTAGTGGCCCTTCAGCCTGACCCATGCAGAACTGGGAACTTACTTGAGAAATCTACCAAAGGAAGATAGTGAAAGGGCAAGGAAGCAAGTTTGTCTCACACTACAGTGGCATAACTAGCAGTTGACACACAAGCTGGCAGGTAAGGTGGGGCACTTCTCCTTTTAAAAGAATGAAGGAAGTTCTGATTTTAAAACTGCCACTATGAACCTGAGTTGCACATACATGTATTAACACATGCTTCCGAGGGATTGAGGTACACAGGCTGTGAGGATGGGTGCCACACCAGCCCTAACTGCCTTACTTTTCTTTCTTCCTCAGATTTGCAATCCTCCTGCCTGTCTCCAGACTGGGATTACAGGTAGAAACCATCAGACTCCTGCCAAACCTCATCCCTCTTGAGGCTTACCTTACACCCTTATTCCTGATGGTTTTCTGTGATTCTGACCATAGGGTTTTTTCCTCCCTCTTACAGTTGGGAGCACTTTAAATATATCTATGATCTATAGAATTTCTATGTATCTATATATCTCCAGTGGTCTGGACTGCTGGAAACGCCTCCATGATGTTTAAGTTCTACTTAGAATCAGGGGCACGGAATCTACAGGTGTAGTTTACCAAGCACCAACTTGGGGCTTTTCCAAAATAAACACCGCAGGGGCAAAGCAGGGGGTGACTTCCTTTCTCAAAGAGCTGCTGTCACCGTTGCCCTTGACACAGTGGGTCAGCAGCCCCTGTGGGCTGGGTGTGGGTTGCTGCTGTCTCCCCTGAATCCTGGGGAGCTTTAGGGTTTCATCAGCCTTGCAAGTGGAGCTCAGGAGACAATGCTCATTCTGCATCCCTTCGATCTTGTCCTTGGGCCTGCAAGGTTGACCTTGAAAAATGGCAAGGTAACTCGGGGAAACCATCTCTGTGTTGGGAAGGTACTTGATAAGAAGCTACCTCTTCCCACCAGCGGCCAGGCCGCTCGGGGTGGGGGGGGGGGGGGGGGGGGGGGGACAGGATATTCTGCAGCCACTGCAGAAGCACCGCCATGTTTTCTGCTGTGTCATCACCCCGAGAGCTGTGTGGGAAGCTGCTCAGGGGCTCGGTGGATAAAAATAAGAGTGGTTTTTTCAGCCACCAAGGATGGAAAAGATGGGAAACAGGTCATGCCCAACACTGCATTCTGTGACATCTTGACACATGAGCCTGGTCTTCCCCAAGTTTCTGTCATTCCAAGAATCCTACAGTAGGGAGTAGGGGTTGCCCCAGTGAGATAGAGCAGTAAGCCAACGAGAAGACCAGCCGCCGGCCTCGGCCAGGAGAGGCTTAGGTGGCTGGGTCACGTGCAGAAATTGTTCCCCGGGGTCTAGACTAGCCGGAGCCACAACCGGTTCCCAGCTGCAGCCCAGGGTGGGTTTGGCAACTGTCCGGCTCGAGGTGGTTCGGGCCGCCCGCAAGGAGCACAGCCCAGGAGTCAGGAACCCAGGCGGCCCGCTGGACTGGCCTGCAAGAAGAGGGCCGGGCCGGAACTGCGACCGCAGGGGCAGGAATGCGAGCGGGCGGCAGGTGCACGAGGGGAGAGGCGGAGCAGAGCTGGGCAGAGTCCCTAGTCCCAGAGTGACCTTCCTCACCTCGCCAGGGCCCAGGGGAGGTGGTCCTGCAGTAAACCCAGGCGGGGGATGAGACCAGACACGAGGGAAGGACCGGAGTCTCCCGGTCTCCCGGAGAGCAACGCAGGTGCAAGTCACGGCACCAGCGACTGGGGGGAAGGAGGGAGGGGAGGTCCGGGCACAGCTCGGAGCGCAGAGGGGGGGCGGGGCAGCGGGAGCGCTACTCACCCGCCCCTAGTCCCTCTCCGCGCCCCCGCCGCCGCGCCAACCCCTCCGACCCAGCCGGCTCCTTTGTGCCGGCCCCGCGCCCACCCCTTCGGGTCTCAGGCCCCGCCTCCTCGGCGCCGGCGATTGGCTGACGGAGCGGCCGGTGGGCGGGGCAGCGGGCGGCGGAGGCGCGGTATATAGTAAAGGTAGGGCGTGCGCCCTCAGCCAATTCCTCGGCTCCCGGCCCGCGCGCTCCTGTGCCGAGCCTGCGCTCCGCTCCCCTCGTCTTTCCCGGTGACTTTCCCCTCCTCGTCCCCGGGCGGTCTCGGCAGAGGTCACAGCCGACCAGAGCTGGTGCCAGCCCCAGCTCGGAGCGGCAGGCGGCGGGCTGCGCCGAGGCCCTCCGGAGAGCGAGCGGAGCGAGCGGCGGGGCAGAGCGGGCGAGCGGTCGCGCGCCCACCGCTAGGTGCGGGGCTCGGAGCCGCCCAGCCCGCGCGCGCCCTCCTCCCTCGTCCCTCCTCCCTCCGCCCCCGCCGCGCCTCCCCCTCCTCCCGCTCTGCCTAGGCTGCTCCGCCGCGCGCGCCTCGCACTCGGAGAGCCGCAGCGGCAGCGGCGCGTCTCGCCTTCGGAGACAGAGCCGGGCCGCGGGGGGACACCGAGCCGCCGCGAAGACGCCAGGGCGCGCGCCGCACTTGCCCTCCCTTGGCCTCGGCCGCCACTGCTGAGCCGCCACCATGGCCCGCGGAAAAGCCAAGGAGGAAGGCAGCTGGAAGAAATTCATCTGGAACTCGGAGAAGAAGGAGTTTCTGGGCAGGACCGGTGGGAGTTGGTGTAAGTACGCGGCTCCGCGGCTCTCGCCGCCAGCGCCTTGGCTTTTCCTAGGAGGCGCATCCCTTGTGCGCGGGCGCTACCGACAGTTCGGTGCCCGAGGGGCCGTCCAGGATGTCGGGGATGGGGTGGTAGACGCTGCTAGGAGCGCGCGAGCCTGGGCTTGGCATCCAGTGATGCCAAATGCAGGGTCCCCAGGATGCGGCTCGAGTCGGGGCTGGAACTGGCTAGGCTGGGGGTTGTGGGCACGGTAAGGGAGCGTCGTCTCCTGAGCCTCCCCTCCTGGTCATGTTCCGGGAGTCTATGTGTGTGCCCTCTCTCTCCATCTCCCAAGCCCTTAGAAGAAAAATGAGATTTGGGGAGCTGTGAGCCGGGCTCGTGAGCTAACCTGTTCAGATGCAGACGATGCTGCGATAGCATCATTCTTCCAGCCTAGAAACGTACCAGGGATGGTGAGGAAGGGGGAGGAGAAAATGGATCCACACTGCGGTACCCTAGGCACGGCCCAGAGATGGCCCAGTGAGCTCCATGTCGTGGTCCGCTTTTAAGCCTTGGCGAGACACATAGCAGCCTGGTGTCTCAAAGATCTGCGTGGTGCAAGTGAAGAAACAGGGTCGCCTTAGAGGGTTCCGTGCAGCCTGTTGCTTCCTCGGCCGGAATCCCCCAGTACCCCATTGAAAAATTAGAGACCGTGTTTATTTTTTACCTCCTTACACCGGAAGGGTGCTAGTTTTTTTTTTTTTTTTAAGGTCATTTTGAAGGGCACAGTTGTAGACAAATACACGGGTCGTGACTGCGGATGGGAGGGAGGGAGGGAACTCCCCTTTGCGGCATCACTGCCCCCCCTCCAGTATCACCAGCCCCTCTGCCTCCGCTCTTGCCTCCTCCCCCTCCCTCCCCTATAGCACCAGCACTGCAGTCGCTAAGGGAACCCTGAAAACTAGCGATGCGGTGTTCCTGTTTGGGAGGGTCTATGGAAATAGACCGGAGAATGAGTCAGGGAATCAGCGCTTGGCTGACATTTTGAAAAGGAAGAAGCTGGGATATATGATTTTTTTCCCCCCTAAAGGAAAAAAAAAATGCAGTTAAGGAGCCTCTCAACCGAAAAAAAATAAATAAATAAAGGGTTAATAATGCATCATTCTTCAAGGTTAGTCAAGGTGAAGCCTCATTCCAGGGCATATCCCCGAGCCATGGGAAAATGTGGTTCTTTAAATTAATGGCTTTTTATTTCACGTTCTCTTTCATTTTATTTGGGGGAGACTGTTCTTACATGGGGGTATGCCCGTAGTATTCCTCTGTTCCTGTAATGTGGATGGGTAGACCTGAAGAAATGTGAGTTGTGTATAGGATTAACAGCCAGGGCCATTTCCTAGCAACTCCTCCTAGCTCAGCCAGGCCTGGGAAGTGCACTGCGGATCGGGCCCTCCTCCCAGGTTGGCTGGGGCTCCTTTCCCTGGTGGTCCGGTCCCTGCAGCAGCACCATAGGACTGAGGAGTAGCATTAACTCTGCAGGTACCTTGTGAAATTTGCCCTCTAGTGTTTTTCCACTTCATAAACGTATTTCTTTCCTCATTCCAATCTCACGCTCCTTCTTTGAATAATATTTGCTTTAGAGGGTAAGGAAGGCAGTATGGAACAGTTTGTTCTTTAAGCCGACATTTTATGGGACAGCCCTTCCATGACAGAAAGGGAGAGAGAAGGAGACCGGTGTGGTCTTGATAATCACATCTAGCAAGGTAGTGATACACACCGACTTAGGAAGCAGCCATTATAACTCATCTTCCATTTTGTGGGTGCTGAGCTAGGAACCCAGTTTGTGTTTTGTGCTAAGAATGCCCGTGCCATGTGAGGAATCGAAGAGCTGCTTCGAGGCAGACGACGAGGCAGCAGCTGCTATCTCTTAGAGAAAGATGTCCCCTTAACAGCTCCGGGCCCAACATAGATGCCCTTGGGACCAGGGCAGGATGCCCTTGGCTCCGTTTTGCTTATAGGTAGATTTTTTCACCAAGATGGACGGCAAGGAGGCTCGAGCCTGTCACCTGCTGGAGAAATCACAACTTACAAATCACTTTGTGCTTTCTACCTTTTAATTAAGTAAATACAGGTGTTGGTGGGTTTTTATATTTGCCATTGGTCTCACAAGCTACTCTAAAAACCTTCTTCGGGGGGACATTTTAACGGATATATAAAAATATATAATATAAAAAATAGATAATAGATATATTTAACTGGAAAACCCCTGATGTACCTTGTTTCTTAAATATAGAAGGAAAAGGAAATTGGTTTTAAGGCGTAAAAAAAAAATGTCTCTTAAGCTTCTACGCCAGCCTCCAAATATCAGGCCTTTGTTTCTGTTTCTCGGTGTCACTGGTAGCCTTGGTCTTGGAGAGACCGTCGCCTAAGCTCACCAGACATGCAGGCTGCTCTCTAACCAAGTGACTTCACTGCAGTCACGAGATTTACTAAGTAAATCTCCAGCATCAGAATGCCTTTCTTGTCTGGGATTCTGTGGGCAGAGTGGGAAGACTGCATATCTCCTTGAGCTTAATCACCGTGCTTGGAAAATGGCTAATTTTCCCATCTATTCGTCTTTTAAATAGAAGCTTCAGTTCTGGGCCGTCTCAGGTTAGGATTAGCTACCTAATCCTAGTCCAGGAAATGAGTCAAAAGGTTGTAGTTGTTAGAGGAGGCAAGTGTGGTTAAGCTAAGAGCACCAAGGGTGACACTGGGAGGGCAGCAGGACAGGAGAGCAGCCAGGAAGCCAGGCTCTCAGGAGCTGACTGGGTTATACCAACTCTGTACCTCTTCAGAGCATTCGCTGGAAAAAATTTCCAGATCCCTTGACGTCACAACCTTGCCATTTGCCTACTGCTGCCTGGATACCAAATGCAGCACTTAACCCTTGTCCTGCCGGGAGGAAGGGCCAGAGCCGAGGCTGTGGTTTTGGATGATGTAGCCTTCTCTCTTTTTCTCATAGTTGCTTTTATATTTGTGTAGGGAGAAGAGGGATGAGGTTCATCATTTTTGTGTGGGCTTTTATGTTTGTTGGTTTGTTTCTGCAGCTCCATAACGTCTTGAAATCTGTATTCCTGACGGGAAAGTTGGGCATTTTTCCATGTAATGAAGAGGGCTGCACATGGTTCATTTCCACAACTTGTGTGTCCACTTCATTCTGGGTTCCCCCTCATCACGCACATATACTCCTTTTCAGTTCACTCTGGCATTTTCCCAGGGACCCTTTAGAACTAACCTGTGGCTGCTTTTGCTGTCATGTTCCTGATAACCTTATATTTTGTTCTCTTGCTTCCACGTTTCCCTTTGAGTTGAGTCGTTTGGCTGGCTCAGGATAGTCAGGCAATTCCTAGTACAGCCTGTTACCATGCTGCTAATCGGAGAGATAATCCTTGTAAGCCAGTAACTGATAGCTTCATCCCAGTCCACCGGCGTCATGTTGGTTTAACGTGGGTTTTTTGCTTGCTTGCTTTTTTTTTTTTTTTAAGTTCATTTGTAGCTATTTCAGCCTGCATTCTGTTAACTGTGAGAAAGAGAAGACATAGGTTACATGGCCAGTAGATGAGGTAAAAATGGCGGCTGTTTGTACCATGGGATTTCCCTTGTATGTTTGATTGGTTCCTGGTGCCCTGTGGTCCAGAAGAAAAAGACAGTGGTTTGTAGATCGAGTGGCTTGACAAGGGGAGCTTCAGAGTGTTTCTGAGTTGGTTGTTCTTAGGCATCTCAGTGTTTGGGGGAACACAGAATGCTGACGTGTGTGAATGCAGCTGCAGTTCTGCACCAGCGATCCCCTTCTCAGGGAAGGAAGTGACTTCCTGTTAGAGCTTTAGCTACAGTTGAGCATTCCCTACCCGTGCCTTCCAAAAAAAAGAGTGTGATTCCCTCTTTCGATTGGTGGGCAAGAAAACAAAACAAAACACTGGAGAAACGGGCTGAAGGGGACCTGGGAGGAAGTGTGGTCGTCTTTGGGAAGGTAAGGCTTTGACTCTAGGCTTGTGACTATATCCCCCCTGTCTGTTCTCCCACAGTTAAGATCCTTCTCTTCTACGTGATATTCTATGGCTGCCTGGCTGGCATCTTCATCGGGACCATCCAAGTGATGCTGCTCACCATCAGCGAGCTGAAGCCCACATACCAGGACCGCGTGGCCCCGCCAGGTAAAACTCAGGGGGTGGCTTCTTCAGCGATAAAAGGGGTTCTGCCTCCAACCGAGAAGACGCCTCCAGAAAGTTCTGTTGTAGAGCTTCAGGCTAAGCCCAGGAAGGAATCAGGAGCACTGACTGCTGCAGCCACGTCTCCTGGCCGCATTGCGGCTGAGCTCCAGGTGGCTGCAGATGTCTGTCTCACACAGCCCCACTGTGTGACTGAGGTCCTGTTGGGGCTTCACTCTCCGGCCTTCACGCTTATTGTCAGCCAGATCATTGTAGGGCCTTTTCAGCTCTAGCACATTTTCACCTGTGAGATGACCATATAACTCAGATAAATCCTTGAGAAAAAAATGACTCCCAAAGAGAGGAGCCGTGTCTTCCGGGAGGGTCATTCCCTCTCCTGTTAGCTGATTTGCAGTTTGACCTTGAACACAGACACCCACCTTGCAGATCTCAGTAGGCCTGTTGTGGTTTTGTGAGCCTTTCTTCCAGTTTAGCTGTCTGTTCTCTCTAAGAACTTCAAGCAAACAAAAGATTCTCATAGGAAGGGCAGTCCTACACAAGGGTTCATTGGTGTGGCTTGGCTGTTGTCCCTGTTGAGTACATACCAATCCTTCACACACCACGGAAGGCCACTGCCCACAAGCCTGGGGCCAAATGACAGGCAGCTGAGTAACAGTAAACACAGGTTTATTGCTCTTTGATTCTTCTACCTGGAGGACAGAACTGGAAGAGTGGGAAGGTGTTGGGTTCTCACATTAAAATGACCTTGAGGTTGCTGCCCCGGGTGGCAATGTGGTCTTTTGTCGGGGTCAAGGGTTTGGTGGTTTGGAAACAGCCATCTGTAGGTGACAGTCTTGGGGTCCTGTGCAGGCCCTGAGCAGTGGCTGTTGCAGATGTGGCTTGCTCTTCTTGTGTTTGAGGAAGACAAAAACTGCAGACTATGAAGGTGGGCAGTAGTGCCTTATGGTGCTAAGTCAACAGTCGTCCAGTGCCGGAAAAAAAAAAAAAAAAACCCAGACTATTTCAGATAAATTTAGGTGGAATGTGAAAAAAGAAAACGTGTAAGTATATCCAGTGACCAGCCTATCTCAGGATCCATGGATGTCACCAGATCTTGTACTAAAAGGTGGGTCTTAGGCAAGGCCAAAGCAGCGTTCTGATAGGCCGAGAAATTTGGCATCTTGAGTGTTTTACACGGGCCTCTGTGGTCATACGGCATGCCTTTCCTGTCCTCTTCTGCCAGAATACCTCAGCTGGTAGTCATAGTGATTAAATTTGTGCAGAGCTCTTAGTTTTTTTGTTTTGCCACTAAGTTGTTCTTTAGCCATGACACGTTTTTATAATAACTTAAACTTGAAGCAAAGAAGACCACACAGTCATTCTTTATTAAAAAAACAAACAAACAAAAAAAAAAAACTATAAACTTTGGAGAAATAAGTAATTTATTTTGTTTCTGGTTTTTTGAGACAGAGTTTCCCTGTGTAGCCTTGGCTGTCCTAGAACTTGCTTTGTAGACCAGGCTGGCCTCAAACTCAGATCCACCTGCTTGTGCCTCCCAAGTGCTGAAATTAAAGGTGTGCACCACCATGCCTGGAGAAATAGGTAATAAAGTTAAATTAAAAAAAAAAAAAATTCCAGGTACTTTTCTGAAAAGAAATTTCACTTTGAAAAAAAAAAATTAGCCGAAGTTCCCGATACTCAGTGAGGATTTGCAGCTGACCTTGCCCTGACTGTCCAAGGCGCTCCCACCCCTCCCCCACCCCACTCCTCTCTTCTTCCCAGCCCTTCCTATTAGCACCTATATTTAGTGTACTCACAGCAGTTGGACTGACCTGACTAACCCTCACTTCTCCAGAGGGATGTGAGTGGCTCATCTTGGAAATATGCATTCCTGTCCTTCGGTCTGAGTCACAGGCAAAGTTTTCAGGCCTTCCTGGCCATCTCTTGCTCCTTCATCTCAGCCGTTCCTGTCTCTCTCTGTCCTTAGCTTTCACTTTAGCGGCAGAGTCAGCATCTCCCTGTTCTAACCCGGAGGGTTTTTCTCTGCCCCTCCTGACACTTTTTAGAAAATGATGGTAACTTTGAATCAGGTCAGTAGAGCACTCTCCGGCAAGAAATACGGCTCCTGGACGGTCCTGAGTGCGCTGTACCCCTGAGGGGCCCTAGTGGGAACCCCTGTTGGTATTTCTCAGAACAGGTGTTTACAGTACCTATTTGGAGAGGTAGTAATGATTCCTTAACTCAGCAGACCGAATAAATGTGTGGGAAGTGTATTCTGATCAGCTTTAGGCTTCCACTTAAGGTCCCCAAGCCTCCATTGTTGTCTTGGGTAAAGACGGGAGTTCCAGGTAAGTGTGTGAGACGATAGGTAGCGCTTAAAGATACAACCGCTCACAGTGTATTGTTGTCTGACCTTGGGGCACAAGGACAGTTGGCTCTGGAGTGCTCTTTACACACAGAAACACCTTGTAAGGAGATCTCTTCCAAATAGTGGGTGCGTGGGTGGTGGGGGAGATAGAGCGGCAGCAGCCCTGACCTGCCATCCGTCACTGTGAAGGTTGTGTAACGGATAAGCTGATAGGCCAGATGGGAGAGTCCCTGACAGCTGAGGGAGAAAAACTACAAAATGGAAGGGGGCCTTAAGGACAGAGCGGTCACATGGATTCTGGACTCTGAGCTGTGGGTGTTGTTCCTTGCAAGATCGCCCGGCTCTGGTTGTTAGAACTAACCCGCTCACTCCACCCAGAAAGCAGTCCTGGGGGAGGTGTTGACACCTACTGCTCAAAACTGACCGCTTCTAGCTTCCTTTGCGTTAATGGATGTATGAAATCGGTCTCCAAAGGCCAAAGTTTAAGACACGGGTTTGTGAAATCTCACCAGCCTAAGAAGGAAGAGCAGGGACTTTGGAGTTGAACCCAGCCCTCCACCCCATCACCGCCAAACACACCAAACCTCGTTTCTCGTGTATCCAGCAGGAGGAATATCCTGTGACAGACAGGAGATACATGCAGAACATTAGTAGTTAGGTAAAGCAGACAGAGTGCACGCTGGCGGCTGCTCACAGCGGCCTCCAGCATTTATGTTGCGCCCTGCACTGAAGCAGAGGAGAGGGAGCTTTGGATGATGGGCCGGGAAGTGCTGCACGCTTTCCGTTCACGGTGTCAGTCCACCCTTAGCGTGCCCTGAGCAGTGTTTGAGCATCAGTGGATTCGAAGAGCTTGTTCACGAGGAGCGGAGCTTCCGGTGAACCTAGAAGGCGGCTACCTCTCCTTTTAGCGTACCTACCCCTCCACGTAGAGTCCGCGTTCTCGTCCAGAGGAGAATCTCCTGTAGGGTGGGCAGCCATTACATCCTCTTAGCTGGATCTGGGAGAGACGTTGCCATTCCCTCTGCTGCAGAAGGTCAAGCGCAGCACATGCGCACGCGCGCTCGAGCACGCACACCAGGCCTTTCTCGCCTTGTTGCCCGCTGAGTGGGGTAAAGTCTCTTCCCTGGGTTGCCGCCCATCCCCCACCCCAGGTTATCCTAGCAACTGTGCAGTGAACTGAAGGTTACTGTGTGTCATTCCCTCAGTCCACAGAGTTCCCACCTGGCCTGCTTCCTGGAGCAAAGGTAGGAATGTGTTCTCTGCTCTTCCTCTTAAAGTTGTGGGAGGTTCTTTGTTTTACTCTTAAAGTGAGCGCAGAACTCCTTTCGCAAGGGTAAGGTTCTTGGCCCCCGAGTAACCAGAATTGAGGCAGGAAGGTGTGTGTATGTGGGTGAGCATAAGCAGACCACGAGGCGCGATCAGCCGTTTGAGTTTCTCCTTGCGTGTGGAACAGATAAGCTGACTCCCGAGGGCAGAGCCATCGGAGTGTCCCTGTGTGCTTCAGACCCCCAAGAAGTCACCCTGCAGTGATGATTGGCTGGCCCTCTCCACTTCCAGAGGTAGGAGGAGGAACGCTTCCGCGATCTGTAGGAGCTGTGACTTCAGAGCATTGGGGGAGTTTTCTGCCATTTCCTGTCCGGCTCAGTAGATTTGTGAGCTAGCTGACACGTCCGGGTCCGACTTCTGCTCACTCTATCCCCTCCACACACACCTTGGCTCCTGCCAACCAGAGGAGACAGCCCTGTTCCCCACCGGCGTCTCGTTAAAGGGCTTAATGAGTAAGAGCTCAGGCCGCCCGAACCCTTGCCCACGGACTTTATTCTAAGGTTTTGTAGGTATGCAGGAAGCCCGGTGACTAACATGTTTTTGGAAAGCCAGGAGTAGTGTCTGAGAGGCAGGGGGGCTGCCACGCGTTTCAGGTCAGCCCAGAACTCCAGAAAAGTGGGTGTTGCTTACTTGAAGATGAACAAGCAGAGCCAGGATTGCTGCCTAGGGGAGCTAACAAAGTAATGGAAACGGTCATGGGGGTGGGGCAGGGAGCTAGATCTGTCAGTGTCCTCCCAGACTTGTGCCAGTCACACATGGGAGCTCTGCCCTGTGAGCGTTGGGAAGACTGTCAGTCTCACGGCTTCATTTCTGCTGATGGATGTAGAACCAGAGAGGGTAGGACTGCCGGGTGACCATTGCTAGAACTCCCCACCTGACCAGACTCCAGGGAGGCTTGGACCATGAAGAGCATCCCACGATGGATTACCCAGTAGCTTCTGACCAGGAACGCACCCCACCTCGTTCAGGGATAGGCCCCTAGAGGACTAAGGTGTCAGATTTCAGGGTGTTAGTCACTCAGCAAATGCTGCGTTTTGAAGTTGGACAAGTCAAGTATACACTTGTTCTTTGTTTGACCTTTGGCAAAAAAAAAAAAAAAAAAAAAAAAAGTGAAATGCCTCGAACTTGACTATTGTGTCCTCGTTCTAAAGAAGTGGTACCGTCCTTGTTTGGGGAATAAACACAGTCATGAGCTAGCCAAAACGTCACACCCGGCATCCTGTGAAATTGTACATCTAAAAATATAAAATCCACACTATTACTAAAGTAGTTCCACTGTGGCTTCTGAGCAGACTCCTGGTGTGGAATTCTTAGGTGGTGAGAAACCTGCAGAGTTTGTGGCATTCAGCTTAGCCTGGGCACAGGTTTGTAGCCAGCACGCCCAAGGCTGGTTAACCCAAGTGGGCTGTGGAAACTAGTGCTCCTCCAGGACTCCTCAGCGGGAGCAGGTTTGAGGTGTTGGTTGGATGTGTAGGCTATAGGTGGAACCATCGCCTCTCGGCAGGCCACTTACTCCTGGCTAACCAGCCTCCAGCCATACGCTAGCCCTGAGGCCGAAGGTAAGTGGAAGGGACCCGGCTCCCAGAATTCTGTTAGGTAAGCTGATACTAACCCCACAGATAAGATAATAAATAAAAGTGACGCACCTTTGGCTGTTCAGATTGTCATTTAAAGGGAGGTACTCACCCAGACGTGTCACTGTGTAGCTTGTGTGCATGTATGAGCCATTCCCACTCAAGTTACTTTATAACTGGAAAGTGCTTTCAACCTGGAATGCATAGGAGACATGAATGGCTCCGTGGTAGGCTCTCTTAGCTTCCTGTGCCCTTGGAGGTTTCTGTGGAAGATGATACCTGTTTAAGAGTATTTGGCTGTGAGTCATCAGATGTATCAAGTGACAGGGCCAGGCAGCCCTGCTTTGGGATTCACTGGAGAACCTGCTGCAAGGTTAAAATGGCTGTATTCGCCTTTAAATTCGTGCTCTGGGAGCAGACTGAGAGGTCACAGACTTGCTACATGATAAACCTAACTAGAAACAAAACGCTGGCTAATGAAAAGCCCCTTTCTTTTTTTTTCCTCTTGTTCATGCCCTCTGCTGTGAACATTCACTACAGCCTGAAGTGGGGGTGTCTGCCTCCTTCCTCAGGAGGTGGTTTTGGAAAGGGCAAATGTGAAGTTAGAGGTTTCTGGTTTTTGTTGCTGTTTTGTTTTGTTTTCTGTGTAGCCGTGACTGTCCCGGAACTTGCTCTGGCTGGCCTCAAACTCAAAGAGATCTGCCTGCTTCTGCCTCCAAAGTGCTGGGATTTAAGGCGTGCGTTTTCACCACTTGGTAGTCAAAGGTTTTGTTTTCATACTCTTAATGTAAAATTGAACCTAAATGACAACATTATTCAAATTATTGTTTCAGTCCTCTTAGGTGACTTTGCTAGGTAACAGCGTGACTAGTTTGGCTGGTGCTGGCAGAGCAAGTCTGTATTGAGCTTCACCTCTTTAATGGACGTGTAAGCTTTGAAAACCAAGAAGCAGAAACCTCGATCTGCTTCTGTCCCAAGGTGTGAAACCATAGCCAGAGCTTGGGTGCTCTCTGCTCTTTGGCCTCTGAGAACTACCACTGTAGGCAGAGCTTCCCCTTGTTCAGTTTTTACTAACAGCTTTAGGAGTGGAGAAGCCAGAAGCCAAAAAAATCCTTTCTAGGTGCACCAGCTGGCAAGAAGCACCAATTAGCAAGGTGGGGGTGGGGAGAATGCGTGGGGGAGCTATGGGGCAGAAGTCAGTGTGATTCTGATGTTGGATCTCATCATTTATTTGCCTTGACTAGAGAAGGATGATACTGATTGCACATCATCACTCTTGTTGGGTCATGGTGCCACCACCGGTAACAATAGCATCCCTTTTCACAGGTCCAATGGCCAGGAGTTTTGCTAATAAGTAAGGTTGGTGTACAGAGTTGGGTGAAAAACATGCTAACAGCAACTGAGTTGCAGGAACTTGTGTGGGAGCATGGAACACGTCACTCCTTGTCTCTTAGTGGAAACCTTGTCTTGGAATGGCGAGAGGATGAAAAGGACGCTGTAATCCCATGTTCCTTTTCTCTGTTGACATCACAGAAATGGCACCTTGAGTGGCCCCTGAAAGAGAATACAGAGAGACAGCTGGAAATTGAGAGGCAGCGGGGAATGCCAGCCGAAGCCAGGACAGAAGGGACAGTGACGTGGGTGAACTTGCTTTGCGATCTGGGTCCTACCTTGCTTATTTTCAGTGTGACCTCAGGTCACTTTAGTCATTGCAGCTTGTCTGTGACCCCGAGGCTCACAGTGAACTCTGTCGCTTTTCTAGCAGCTTGGTTTTTGTTGTGTCACCTGCTCCGCTGGAGACCACAGCTGGCAGTGCTCTTACCCACCACACTGGTGGCCCTTCGTCAGCTGGCTGCAGTTTCTTTTCTTCCAGCTTCCCTCCTTTCCGACAGGTGGGGAGGGCTGCTTCTCACATTTGATCCCTTCAATTTCTTCACTCTTTAGGGCCCCTCCACCCTCCTCCTGGGCCTGGAAAGACAAGTAACCCTGAGCACAGAGCTCTGCTCTTTGTCCATTTCTGCCTGACAAATTCACAGGCATTTGTTCTTGTCTCTTAGGCATGACTGCCCCTCAAGACTCCACTTGCTCTGGATCCCACCCTATTCTCCTCACTTTTTATTTTCTAGTATTGGGTCTGTGCCCTTTATTCCCCCAGGGCAAAGCACATCACCTTGGCTTAAATGCCTTATTTCCAACTCAGACTAGGAATGGCCCTCTAGCTGCCTGCCCCATTTTAGCCCTGGTTTCCTTGTCCAGTGATAGCTTCTGCACTTGTCCTCCATTGCTTGTCTTTGCAAAGGTCAGTGGCTTTCACTGCATTGCTTCATAGCATAGCGCTGTGGGTAAGTCACAGTGCCAGATTCCAACTTAATGCAGAAAAGATTTTCTACAATATATTCAGATTGTTTTAGACATGAAAACAAACTCATGAGTCAGGTGTGGTGATACACGCCTTTAATCTGAGCACTCGGGAGGCAGAGGCAAATGTATCTCTTTGAGTTTAAGGCCAGTCTGGTCTACAAAGGAATTCCAGGACAGTCAAGGCTGAAGACTGAGTTAATTCTGCAACAGTATTCCTTTTCACCTGTTGACAGCTTTTCTCCTGTGTTCTTTAGGCTATGCATTAGCCTTTTCCAGAATTTTGTTTTGTTTTGTTTTTTTACATTAAAACATGTGTGACTGTTTTCTGAGGTGCATGTGTGTGTGCCATGGTATACTCCTGTGGAAGTCAGAGGATAACTCTGTGGAGTCCGTTTTCTCCTTCCATCTTTATGCGGGCCCCAGGGAACCAACTCAGGGCAGCAGGCTTGAACAGCAAGTGCTCTCCCTACTGGGCAATCTCCCTGGCCCCTCCAGAAGATTCAGTTGTTTGTTTGGTTTGAGACAAAGTCTCACCGTGTAGCTCTGGCTGGCCTAGAACGTGTTGCAGTCTGGCCTAGAATTTACAGAGATCCATGAGGGTTGGAACCAAAGGCCCATGCAGCCATGCTGCACAAGAAGATGCTTGTCATCACTCCTGACATGCTCATCCTCTACATAGCTCTCACTTCATGGTCTTCATCTCCGTCCCTTCCGCCATCCCCATGCATGGCTGCTTACAGAGCCCCTTCAGTTTGGCCAGCCCCACCGAACCATTGTTGAAGCTCAGAGCAATCCTAACTCACTAGAAAAAAACAACAGCCATTTACTCCCACCTTCCGAAGCCTGTTCTCAGGCGCCACAAATGGTGCTGCTGAATAATTAATCGTGCTAGTTATGCTTCCTCTTTAATTATGCCACCGCCTGCATCGACGTCCCCACTCTTGACTTCTTCTAATCCTCCGCACAGCCATTCTAAACCAAGGGTGCTTCGGGCTTAGTGGTGATGCCCAGGTAGGTCTGGAACGGAGCCTATGAGGCTGCCTGTTTAACCAGCCCTCCTGGAGTGTGGTGTGGGTGCCACCACCTGCCAGGAGGTGACAGAAGGCGGTCAGGTGTAGCTCCGGACCAGCAGGCCCCTGATATAGGGCCAGTCTAGGTATCAAGATGAGAGTGAGGCTGCCAGATGTCACAACAGAATACCAGATACCTGGGTACATTGCGGTTTGTTACACTGTATGTGTGTGTGGACACGTGCGTGCGTGCCTACTAAAGAACTGTCCCATGTTCATTTGAAACTAGAATGTACTTGGCTATCTTTTATCTGGCTGTCTTGGGGTGGAATGTCATTGGGGTTTCCTCTCCAGCTCACTGGCCTGGATATAGTGCTATTGTCCAAGTGCCCATTTAGGAAACACTAAGCAGAGAAAGCAAACTCATGTCACCGTATCTTGAATCTCCCTTTGAGAGGTACTGGCATGATCAGACATTTGAATTAGCAACTGTATTCGTGTGTGTGTGTGTGTATCTTGAACTCCCCCACTAGAAGCTAAAAAAAAAAAAAAAATCTATCCTAGGTTACAAGAGCCAAAAGACTTGTCTCTGTAGAGCAGTCTTGAGGTTAGAGAGATTGGGATTTTCATGATTCGTTGACATGATAGGGGCTGGCCTCTGTTCCAAGCCTCCATGCTACCACCAAATGGAAACCCTTGCCTGTACACCTGCCACAAATGGTGCTGCTGAATAATTAATTGTGCTAGTTATGCTTCCACTTTAACTATGCCACCGCCTGCGTCCACGTCCCCACTCTTGACTTCTATCCTCCGCGCAGCCAGTGCAGTTTTAGAAACGTGTGCACGTGAAGGTACTAGAAAACCACAACCTGTGGGGAACTGCACACCTGGGTTGAAATTCTGGTTCTACAGCTTTCTCTGCAACCTTGGTCAGAACATTCTGCCTTTTATTGCCAAACGGTATTCTCATTCATAAAACAGGCTAATGCCTACTAATAAGTGTTGGCCAGGAAATTGGATATTTGATATTACATCATCATTACATCTAGATATCTTATCTAAATGCTACCAGATTGAATTTATAAGGGAAGTGGGATTTAACCCGTTCTGTGAGCCAGTTTCAAGGTGGGGGGGGGCCATGTTTGAGCAGGGAAAGCCTGCTTTTGCAGTCTCTCTGAGTTGCCTTCCCACTAATAACTTTGTCTTTCTGATTCTCCCTGGTGTAGGACTGACACAGATTCCTCAGATCCAAAAGACTGAAATTTCATTTCGTCCTAATGACCCCAAGACCTACGAGGCCTATGTGCTAAACATCATCAGGTTCCTGGAAAAGTACAAAGATTCAGCCCAGAAGGATGACATGATTTTCGAGGACTGTGGCAGTAAGTGACTCACTGTAGATGCCCATGATCATAATAGCAGACAAATTGCCATTTTTGCTTCACTGAATAGTTTAAAGGCAATGACACTGAATTTTTGTTAGAACTTAACATGAGGTTTTCACCTTATTTACAATAATTTAAAAGGCGCAAGTGATTAGCAAGGTGAAATAATGTTTGAAGGGGAAATAGTTTAATAAAATATATATTATGATAAGAATAGTCATAAATAATATGTATCAAATATACAGTAAAATACATGCATTGTTTTCCCACAGCATGACTTAAATGCTGCATTCATTTCATTTTTCCCTGGCTTTTTAGATAAATCGTGAACAACATTTTCCAGTTGAGTAAGTGCTTGCAGTAAGAGGAGAATGTACAGCTTCCAAAGACAAAACTGACAATTCCCTTCCTCTCCTTGACCATTTAGCCTCTGATTAGAGGCATAGCTCCAGAACATTCTGAACCAGACCCTTCCAACTCAAAACCTTACTGACAGTCTTTTAATTTATGTTTAATTTATGTTCTCGTTACAATGTCACTGTTTCTGAGCACAGCCATGTGGACCTGTGAGCAGGCTACTGCAGTGTGGCCTAGTTCCCTTCCTCCCTCAGTGACTAAGCAATTCATTAGACCAGTGGTGCTAAACCTGTGGGTCGTGACCCCTTGTGGTTGAACAACCCTTCACAGGGTCACCTAAGACCACTGGAAAACAAAGGTATTTGCATTATGATTCCCAGCAGTAGCACAATTACAGCTACGAAGTGGTAATGAGAATAGTTTTATGGTTGGGGGCCTCTCCACGGTGTGAAGGACTGTATGAAATGGTCACAGCGTTGGGAGGGTTGAACCGCAGCATTAGAACACGAGACTAGCAAAGCCTGAGCATGTGCTGAGCATAAAGCACAGATGTTGAGCACCATAGTGCCTTTGCTAATACATTTAACTTTTGCAGACAGCCTGTTGGAAGTCCATGGCTGATGTAGACCATGCGTAACCCTGCCTTCAGTGGGGAATTATAAAGAAGAAAAAGTTCTTTCCCTTCTCAACAGTGCCGAGCTAATGACTAGTGCACTTTGTGAATGTGCTTGTGCTTTTAGATATGCCCAGCGAACCCAAGGAGCGGGGAGACTTCAATCACGAACGAGGAGAGCGAAAGGTGTGCAGGTTCAAGCTTGACTGGCTGGGGAACTGCTCCGGACTCAACGACGAAACTTATGGCTACAAAGATGGGAAACCCTGCATCATCATCAAGCTCAATCGAGTCCTGGGATTCAAACCTAAGGCAAGTGGTGTTTTTCCAGGACAGGTGCATTGTGGGGCTTAACTAATAAGAGAAGACAGGTTACTTTTGCAGTGCAGTCAGTCAGTAGTGTAATACTAAAGGCTTTCTCCTGGGTCAGAGCCTGAAAGCTGCACACGGAGTGCCACAGCCAAAGTTTGCTGTGAGGCCTTGTGTTGTTTTGAGGCAGGCTCTCATGTAGCCTAGGTTTAACCTCAGTCACTTTGTTGCCAAGGTTGACCTTATGATCCCCGCCCTCCCCCCCTCCTCCTCAGTGATGAGGTATCAAAGTTATTTTTAGAAAACTGTGTTTGCTGCTCTCTTAACCCAGCTGTCATACAAATAATTGATACTCTATTATATTATTTTAACAAGCTTCACAGCACAAGAACTGAGCAGTTACTATCTATTCTTAACCCTCTAATCTAATCTAATTTAATCTAATCTAATTTTAACCCTGGTTTCCTCCCAGGGTATATCCCAGAGGTACTGGCACTTTGTAGCTTTTCTGCTTCAGCTCCTTCTTTTGATCTCATGGACCTCTCCTACTCAGTCCCCTCAATCCCCTACTTCTTCCTACTCAGTCTCCTACTTAATTTCTCAATCCCCTACTTCTCTTCTAACTCCTTCTCCCTTGGATGGCAGGAAGTCCAGCCCTATTTTCTCCCCTGCTTAGGGATTGGCTGTAAGCTGCTTTATTGGCATACCACAGGACAGTTGTGCAGCAGTCTTTACACAACACTGAGACAGGAGATTCTCAGAGCAAGGAGTGCAACCAGATATGGGGGTAGAGAAATCATTTCAATTATGCAATAACCTTAGGCCTACAGTGAGACTCCAGTGTGCTCCCAGCTCCAGTGATCCTGTTCTCAGTACTCAGCCTTGTGTCTAGATACAAAGTCATTTCCACACAGGAGGATCTAGGCTGTGCGCTGTGATTACAGGCTGCTTTTGAAAGGAGCAACAGGAGTAATTCAGAAATGCTGTTGGTTAATTTGAAAACAAGGTTTCATTGTAAAACCCCAGAAATAACACCATCTCTGTTGAACTCTGATAATCATGCAGTTTCTCATGAGTGAACGTTACTTGATCACTAAAATCAGCAAGTTGCCACTGTTCCCCATTTTTGTGAAAAATTCTTCAGAAGGGCAAAAGTTATTGGTAGGTCTCATCTTTTCTAAATGGTTATTTCTCAGATAATGAATGAGACATGCTGACCTTCCTTAGCCATGGCTTCTGCCTGCAGGTTCCCCTAAAGATGACATGAACACTGCCCAATATTAGTGTATATATTTTAATTCCGAGGGGAATTAATTGACTGAAGTACCTTGAGTTACCTGGACAAACCTCTTCTGAAACCTGGCTTGCCTTCACTTTCTACTGCATATTAATTTGTCCATAATCTTTGCTACCCAAAAGGAAAGCAATGGAGAGAGACTTTTCTTTTTCTTTTTTTGAGATAGTGTCTTCTATGTAGCCGTGGCTGTCCTGTCGAGTGCCACCAAGCCCAGCAGGAAAAGTTACCCTAAAGAATGTATCAGAGCTCCCTTTCGCTACCAGACACAAGGACCAGTGGTGGGTGGATGGCTGGTTGTCTGACTGGCTGTCTGCTTGTCTTGATGGATCACTTGCCAATGTTGGTTAGCTTTTTTTAATCTCCCCCCATAGACAAGTGTGTATCGGGGAGTTCCGTGGTTAGCGCTGCCACTCCGTGCTTGCGTTCGACATTCACATGGCTAGGGTAGCCTAGCAATAGGAGGAAGTGGTGTGATGTTTCTGCAGGGAGACTGGAGCCAGTTTCTGCCCTCTGGGTTGTTTGCTTTTAATACTCATCACACTCTTTTTAGCGGCACCTGTTTCACAGAGGTGGGGCCTGGCCTGAGTCGTGTCTCCCCGCTTCTGGATGCCCTGTCTCTGAGGGATGCTGACTCTTCCAGTTAATCCATTGCTTCTTCTCATTTGTGTCTCCCATCCAGATCCCCAGCTAATTTGTCAGTGGGATTAATTTTTTATTAGAGACTGCAGTACTCCCATCATTCAGTTGATGTGCCTGGTTCCTTATTTCTGGCAACTTCTTTGATCAATAAGTGTTTTCTCTTCTAAGTTTTCAAGGCAGAAATATCGGTAGCAGAAACCTCCCAAAAGAGTCAAGTCTTGACCCTCATTTTTCTCACGTACCCCAACAAGTAATGGCAAAATATGAATTCCTTACTGGCGTGTATATCTGTTGGCACAGCTGTTCATAAGACCGTGAGCTATGTCTTATGTCCAGGCTCAGATGTGATGCTAACGTGAGTAAGCGAATGGCTGCCTTCCAGCAATGCATACTCATCAGCCTTCTCTGGGGGTGGATGAGCTAGGGATGTAGGAGGAGGGCTCTGTGTTTTGCTGTAACAGTCGCTTTCAGACCGAACCCTGAGTCTCACCCAGTGACAGTACTCCATCACAGAGGCAATGCTACCATTACCTGCTCTAGGGGTTGGGCTAACATCACAAAATTGGAAAGAAACAGTCCTTTGGTGGGAGGGTGTCAGTGTGTGCCCTTTCTCACCCCAGGTTTAGAGGAGGGTGGAGGCATCTTTGAGGACTTCATTTGTTGAGGAGAAGCACAGCGTATTATCCATGGCTCACACCAAAAGTCCAACTCTTTTGAACTAGAGGTGCTACTCGGCCCTCCATGCAATGACTGCCATCTTAGCCGTCACTCAGTTCTCTTTGCGTTGTCCTTTGAGTCAGGCCTATAGTAGGTTAGTGCTAGGCTGTTTCACGGCTCATTTGTAGGGATGATTTGTAACAAATCAAACAGAATTTTCTCAAATTGATGAGGTGAGTCACTCATTCGCTTTGCTAATGTTTTATTATTTCAGCAGCTTATTGTCAACAATATGCATTTGTTTGGGCTACAAATTAGTTTTATTTTTCAGAAAAAAAAAACAAAAAACATATTTTGACCAATGTGGGTTTCGCTTTTAGCCCCCCAAGAATGAGTCCTTGGACACTTACCCTGCAATGAAGTATAATCCAAACGTCCTACCTGTTCAGTGTACTGGCAAGGTAGGAGTGCATTCGGGACTACGGAGGGTGGGCGGGAAAGTGGGCAGGGTGGGAGCAGTAGCTGAGACTCCGCAAGTTAGGGGGACAGTTTTAAGGCAAGAGAGTGCTTTCAGGTGTTAGGCTCAAGAGAGGAGTCAGAGCTACATGGTTAAAGGGATAGAGTAGTAACAGTAAAACCGAGTTTGTTTACTGGCACAAGAAACTCGTATATCTGAATGTTGTAATCTAATGGGATGTGGGCTTATGGACCTGAGAGGTGAGCTAGCCCACAGCATGTGCTAAAATTTGGAGCCAACTTTCTTTTCTCCCCTTTAATGAATGCCAAAAATTAGTGCTGTGGTAGCAAGCCAAGAGATAGATGTCAGAAATCAGGGGCAAGTATGAAAACCTTTGGAGAGAACGTCACTGGCGACAGTGTCCGTATAGACACAGGATCCACCAGGGCGATCCACGGCCTCTCACTGTTGGGGGCCGAGTCAGCTTAGGAAATGCTCGCTCACCCTTTGCCTCAGTGTCTCCATTTGCGGTGGAAACAGTCCCCTTCTGTGAACGTTTCTGCTCTGGGCTAGACCGAAGCTACCTCCTTGCTGTGGTGTTACCCACCCGTGTCACCCAGGGCTTGCTAGGCTTAGCTTCCGAGAGGCTGGAGACGGCATGCCGCAGGGCAGCTTGTTTTCCTCTGTCGCAGACTACACTGGGGTTGAGACGAGGCCTCTTTGAGACGAGGTCCATGACGTTTGCGTTCCGTTAGAATTAAATCATGTTTCCTCTTGGTTTCCAGCGAGATGAGGACAAGGAGAAGGTCGGGAACATAGAATACTTTGGAATGGGCGGCTTCTACGGCTTTCCTCTGCAGTATTACCCCTACTACGGCAAGCTCCTGCAGCCCAAATACCTGCAGCCCCTGCTGGCTGTACAGTTCACCAACCTCACCTTGGACACTGAAATCCGCGTCGAGTGTAAGGCCTATGGTGAGAACATTGGGTACAGTGAGAAAGACCGCTTTCAGGGACGCTTTGATGTAAAGATTGACATTAAGAGCTGATCACAAGCACAAATCTTTCCCACTAGCCATTTAATAAGTTAAAAAAGATACACAAACCTACTAGTCTTGAACAAACTGTCATACGTATGGGACCTACACTTAATCTCTATGCTTTACACTAGCTTCTGCATTTAATAGGTTAGAATGTAAATTTAAAGTGTAGCAATAGCAACAAAAATATTTATTCTACTGTAAATGACAAAAGAAAAATAAAAATTGAGCCTTGGGACGTGCCCATTTTTACTGTAATTAGATTCCGTAACTGACTTGTAGTGAGCAGTGTTCCGGCCCCAGTATTGCCGCCTCGTCCATTCTATTTAGTGTACAGTACTATAGGTGCGCACTCTGGTCATTTTTCAAGCCATGTTTTATCATATCTGTTTTCTACTTTACGTGAGCAAGGTTTGCTGTCCAAGGTGTAAATATTCAATGGGAATAAAACTGGCATGGTACTTTTTCCTTTTCTTTCTTATTTTTTTGGCTCTGAAATTTCAAAGGTAATGGCCCATCAATGAGCATTTTTTAACACACTCCATAGTCTTTTTTTTTTTTTTTTTTTCCTGTGGTATCAGATCTTTTTTTTCCCCTTTATTTCCTGGGGCTGGGGGGTGGGCTGTCATGGGGGAACTGCCCTTTAAATTTTAAGTGACACTACAGAAAAACACAAAAAGGTGATGGGTTGTGTTGTGCTCCGTGCTGAATGCTGTCTCGCCATCTCTGCCCGTGTCCTCCAGTGTGTTCTGAAGCTGTGTCTGAGATCTGGATCTGCCCATCGCTTTGGCTAGTGATGGGGCTAGTTAATTTGCTTTGTACATTTTCTTTTCCTTCTTTCCTTTCTCTGGAGGCATCGTGCTGGTGCTGTGTCTTTATGAATGTTTTAACCATTTTCATGGTGGAAGAATTTTATATTTATGCAGTTGTACAATTTTATTTTTTTCTGCAAGAAAAAGTGTAATGTATGAAATAAACCAAAGTCACTTGTTTGAAAATAAAATCTTTATTTTGAACTTTATAAAAAGCAATGCAGTACCCCATAGACTGGTGTTAAATGTTGTCCTCAGTGCAAATCCATGTTCTAACATATGTAATAATTGCCAGGAGTACAGTGCTCTTGTTGATCTTGTGTCAGTCAGGTTAAAACAACGGACAATAAAAGAATGAACACACTCTTCATGTGTGTGACTCACTTGTCTCAGCGTCTCAGTCTGTGTCGTCTTTACTCTCTGTACTGCTAATTATCCAAGATCTTGAAGAAATACTGGACCTGAAAGGCAAGCACAGGCAGTCATTAGCTTCGTGCAAGTCTGGGCTCTCCGACGTGCCGAGAGCCTGATCAGGATGCAAACCTCTCCCTAAGAGATGACAACAGTTATTTAACAAGCTGCAGAGTCAGGAAGGCTGAAGCTGGGCTGTGGCAGTGTTTTACAGTGCTGTCCACTCAGTGTGGGACACAGGAAGTCTTAACTCCTGTGACAATACCACAGCTCAATGGAGTGTGTTCACTCAGTGTATGTGTATTAATGTCTCTAGCAGTTAAGTTTAAAAAGCTTTGCATGTTGCTCAGGGTTTAGCCTCAGTACTTATTTAACCGTATTAAAAATCAGTGTGAGAAAAGACAACAAATTTACACTTTCTGGTCAATTTTTTGCTATGATGGAGTTGAGGATGTCGTATTGCCAACATGGGGACATACAAACTGAAATGATGGTGACATGAATCTGGAAACCTTTCCAAAGGCCTATGTAATCACAGCTCACCAAACACTCGTCACAGAGTTAGTTCCCACCTATTGATCCACACTAACAATCCCCATTTTTCCCAGGTGTGGCAGAACTCACGAGCCACAGCATAAGGGAGGCCTTGTCTTCCCGTTCCTATGCGCAGCAGTGAATTACGTGATGACAGATTGATACCAGAGGAACAGTTACTCCACTGAACAGAAAGTAACAAGGCAACTTTTTTTCAACGACCCAGGTACCTGACTTCACAGGTTTTAGGAATTTTCTTCAGTTACTGAGGAACTAACAAATTCCATAAATGCTATCCCCAGTAGAAAGCGCATTTTTCAAAAAATCAGCCATACATTTATGGGAACGGAGAGTGTCCCTCCTGTGAATAAGATGGTGTATTTTGTTGAACCAGCTCATTTGGGGAAGGCAGGGTGTCACAGTGTAGGCTCGGTTGTGCTGGAGTTCAATGTGTAGTCTGCCGTGAACTCGCAGATAGCTGTCGGCCTCCACCTGTGCTGGGATTAGTGTCCCACAGGCCTCGACTTCAGGCTGTGACTGAGTCATGTGTGTGATGTTTGAATAAGCGTGGAGTGGGGGCTGTAGGTCTCAAAAAGGAACTTTTTTAACCTGGAGGACAATTTACAGCTTGGAAGCTTTTCGAAGGTCAAAACCTTGGTGAGACAAACCTGCCATTTTCACAGATCCTGTGCCCCCAATGCTCCTGAACTACTGCACATGCACACAATTCTCTATGCCTTCAAGATTCTCTCCAAACCTTGTTTCCCATAACCTCTCCAGGCTGTGCCAGTGCATCCCTACCCAGCACCCTCAACACTGTGCCAGCTAGGAGTCTTGCCAGTGTAGTTTGCATTCTCTGACTTAAAAGATAATTGACTGCCGACAACACACCTACTTTGTACTTCCGGCTAGAATTGGGTTAAGCCTACAAAGCTCGAGCCACTCTGCAGCACCACACTGAAATTAAGTGCTTGCATACTCACGGCATTCAAACTTTCATATATTCACTG